ATGCCAATGCACTGAAAGGAAACTGCTTAAATTGTTTATACAATGGCCAAATAAACAAATCATTTCATAACAGTGAGGTGGTAAAAACAAGCACGATTGCATTATGAAGTGAACCAAAACAACAAATAAAAAAGGAAAAGTAAAAATTGCATACCTCTGTCTTCAACATCTAAATGTGTCCGAGTTCTGCCTTCTCCAGTATCTGTAGAACAGAAAAGCATCTATGTGTCAATGCAATGGCAGTGGGTCTTGATGATTGTACGTACTACTTTGCATTTGCATACATGCACTTAAAAAAATTAGGTATCAGTCAAGCAGGTACATGGATATCTTGCTAGGTACTAGATCTGACAATATTGCGATAACAATATCTCAAATGTCAATGACCAAAAATTATCTGGGACAATTGCCTCTTAAATTTGCACAATATTACCATGTATGAACATTGGGCTCAGCAAGCTGAGAGTTGATGGGCTGAAATTTGAAAATAACCAATGTATGAAAGCACAATGGCAATTGCAAAAAGGACAATTTTATTCAACCATATCTCACTAAATGCCGAAAATGTGCCATGGCACGCCAGATTAATATATGGAGCTTCATCAGAAAAAAATTACACAATGAATACGCCATAACATGAGGAGGATGGTGGGGACATGACAGTATGAGTTCAATCATGCATTGACTACATTTTACTCCACAACATACAAGGCATTTAAGAAAAACATGACTTGGCCCGTCTTAACTCTCCTATGCTGAAGTCATTCTTTGGGTCACTTGGTAAACACCTCAAAGAAGCACAGCTGTGTCGTGTTGTGCACTGCACCAACATGCAAGATAGTGACCTTGGGCACTTGTGCATATTTGTGCTGTAAAACCAAAGGAGGGTTTTAAAGAAGAAAACTCAAGGATTAAAGGCATCCATTCTCCTGAATCGGTCTTAAATGCATGTTCAATTAATTCCTGCCAGGGATTCTGGTTCCAGACACGTACTGATATTTTTTCACTATCAAAAGTGGAGATAATCTAACTTGGTTTTTACAAGGCTGCAGGCCTGGCTGAAATACTTGGGCGTCAATAGATTTTGTCTGTCGTTCGTGGGGGTGCAAGTGTACAGTAAATGAAGGTAGTAAATTTCAAAAAATTTTTGGGAAAAAAAAAAATTAACCCAGTCCAGCATCTTCAACATTGATAAATCGACTCTAAGTGGTTAAGACTTGCCAAGCAGAAATTTACTGACATTTCCATTAAATACAATTTAAGAGTATACAATACACCAACCTGATTTAATGGTGTCAGCAACTTGCACACCACAGTGCTTTAGGAATTCACGGATTCCAGTGGGGATGTCAGACTTTTCTGCCACTGTACAATGTGCTTGGCAAAAGGCTTTGCCACGAAGTGGAACATTAGTGCAGACATCGGGGAGACCTGGGATCTCTATTTTTGAGACCACACTCTATGAAAGTAGAAAATAAAAAACAAATAAAAATCGGCAACGGGAACAACTTTGTTCAAAACATTTAAGGTACACACTGGTGGACGTTAGTTTCCGTTACTTTACAAAATTGTGAATGGCAACAGTGCAGAATGCCACGACTGGAGGTAATGGGTCAGATGTTGTGTTGTTTTTTACTTGTCAAGCACACATTCAACACAATATAAAATTCCAATCAACCACACTGCTGAAAAATGCTATTCACACTGCTTTGACAAAATAACAGGAAATGCTGGAGGCTGCTGAAGGATTGAGGTACATGTAGTAGGCACCTCACCCGAAGAAAACTTTTCCAAAAAAAATTTTTGGAGAGTTTTGAGGATTGATGCTGAATGCAGTTTCTTCATGTCAATTAAACGTTCAGGTAAGATCCACAGGCTGACACCACTTACAGGTGAACAGTATGACAAGGTAATCTAAACTTTTACCCAGTTGCATCTTCTTTGTTAGGGGCATTTTTGAGGAGGTGCTAGAACTAAAACTGTTACTATTTAACTCAAGAACTTCAACAAACATGCACATACCTTGACTTTATACATGCAATGAGGAAATCTCAACTTCCAAATTCCATCCACTGCAAAAACACGTCCACAACCTGAAGGAACACCCCAAAAATTAAAGTAAACATTAAGTGTTACATTTGCAATGGAAACAGAGAAATTTTATCACATAAAATCTTCATTTAGCCAGAAAGCCGTTCATGGTTCCTACAGATACTGTCAGGTAATGCTAGAGGAATTTAGAAGATTCAGGAACTGGGTAACGGTCATTTTGAGTATCAAGTCCAAGAATTAGAAGATTTCTGAGGACTAAGAATGAATGCAATTTCTGGATTAGACCCACTGGAGGATTTGGGAAGATTATGTGTGCACTACCAAAAAGACCCCAGTGGGTTTGGGTTACAAATAACCGTAACACTTGACAGAAAGTATTGGTGGCCTATCACTATAAAACAGGAAATTTCACACATGGAGTACACTATCAAGAAAGAAGGCACTGGGTTTACTTAAGCATACAGACGATGTGGAAGACTCGACATGTTACATCAAGAGCTAGATATATATATATTCAGAAGGTAGAAGGTGGTTTCAAAACGATGTCTAGTTTTGACGGTGAATTAGGCCATCTAAAAAACAAATATCACATGTACAGTAACCTTTGGCTTGGCAGGCTGGGTGGCAGTTCTCATGCGGATAGGGCTGTTTCCTCCTCAGCTTCTCTACTTCCACCAGAACTTTTTCTTGGTCACTGTCCACTCTCATGAGGTTAAACATGTCTAAACGGTTAATGCACGAAGTTCATTTTCCAGTTCACCACTGAAAAATGCAGAGGACACTTGCTTGTAGTTGAGGCCTGTCCAAAAAATGCATTGCAAAAGGACTGGTAACAATAACAACGCTAAAAAATGCAATTTTAAAAGAACAAGAAGTAAATTGTGATGCCGCAACAAGCACGACCTGGCCAATAAACTATGTTGAATATGCAGGTTGTCCCAGGAGGTGCTACAGGTACATGTACTTGTTTAAACATGAACAATTATTCACAATAAGTCCAATTTCTTATGGACCGAAACAGGAGAAAACTGGGAAAAAATTGACAGCGCATTCCAACACCTAAAATTCCAGCGATGACAATGCACCTCAAATGCCAAGAATTTACGACCCCAATGCTCAACAGGTATTAGAGGAATTTTCAAAGATAAGGAATATGTCGAATTCTTTGGTGGAGCCAATTAGGGTATCTCAAAAGGGCTTGGATAGGCCTATCTACCTGTACATGTAGTAGCAAACTTGGACAGTGTTAATGGTAAAAATAAAATAAGGCAAAAACAAACACTTTGGAGACAGGATGGCATTAAGAGGAAAACAATTTTGATTAAGCATAGTAAAAGGGCACAATACACACCTGTGTGTCGAGTTAGGTTGAATGTGTCATTATACGATTCTGCAAATCCAACGAAACTGACCCAAGCATGGTTTCTGTGAATAGAAAATTTACACAAGTTTATGATAACACTTAATATCAAATTCCAGAATTGAACAGGTCCAAAAGAAGGTATCAAAACAAGTTTGAGGGTAACATTGTGTGGCAGAGCCAGAAATTTGTAACAGCTACTTTTTAGCGTCTTTTCATAGGAGTAGTTCCCCTCTAAAAAAAACAGTTTTGGGTTTGAGTTCCCCTAGATTTTTCTGTTAGTGTACCCCCCCCCCATTTATTTACTTTGGTCTTTGCTTCTACCCATATAACTTAACCCCATGCTCTGGCCACATTAAGTTTTGAACAGCAGACCAGCAGAGATACCATCATTGTTCATTTGTTCCTCCTAACTGGAGTGTGTGTTTCTACTTGAGTCAGGTTTCTGTCTGCTTCTATGAGTCAGTGATTGAAGTCTGAGTGTAAACTCATAGGGTCCATTTTACGCACTGTGTTGGGATTGGGTTTTGGTTTTGAAGCTTTTAAAGTTTTAGTCTTTGGGTGTTTTTTTAGTCCTTGAGTCCTTTTAGTTTTTTTTGGCATTTTTCCTGTACTTTTTCATTAATAAATAATTTTGTGTCCCTTTTTTGAAGTCAAATATTGTGTCCGAGTCCTTGTTAATTCAGTTTCCTGCGACTTTTCCTTCAAATATCCTTGGTTTAGTTAGAGTTTTTGTCGTTTTGCGAATTCCCCATAGTGTGCCATTTTTCCCTGTTACAATTGCAATGCTGATTGCAGAGGATACATTGCACCGGTTTCTAGGTTAGACATTGTGTTGTTTATCTTCAGCAATGCATAAAGTCATGCCTACATGGAATTCTCCACAGTCCTCTAGGATACACGTAACATTCAAAATGCCTCATCATATATGAAAAAGAGTCAAATGGCCCCTCAATTTTTTAAAGAAATATAATTGATACACACAAAACCAGGATACCAGTCGTGTAGGGTCTGTAGCACTACAGATAACAGGCACGAATACTACAGGCCCCATATCCGGCTGCATTTGGAACAATGACCAACACAAAGTAGGTGGAAGGCTAGTTCTCTGTCTCCCATCTTCCTTCATGTTTCCTAAATCAATACTGGGCCTAAAGTGAACCAATGATGACTCACTGCTAATTGGTTATGCATGGCACCCTCATGCTGCTCTAGCTAAAGATAAGACACATGCTACAACAAAGGATCTACATGTCCATGTGTGTTTTCTGGAAGAACAAGATTCTATCAGCTGAAAGGCAAAGTACTCCTATAAAGTACTCTACCTGAAGCATGTCAAGGTTGAATTTTAAGACCAAATAATGGCAATTTTTTTGTGTGAAAAATATCCCTTGAAATGTAGTAAAATGTAAATTTGATTATATAGAAATTATTTCTAAGCGTATACATCACAGTTCGATAAGTCTGTTTTCAATGCATTTTTAAATGTTGGTTGTGTGTTGACGCTACTATCAATGTGTTGACGTGTGTTGATGGTGTGTTAACGCTGATTAGTACGACCCGCAAAAAGAGATAAAGAAAGCATTACTCACGCCAGGCTACACTGCAGCTCGAACAATTGCCGTTCAACATAGAAGGTATTGCTTGCCTTCACAAACTGCCTGCTTTTCTTATACAGCTTGTAGCCGACTGTTGGGTTACCGTAACAATCATAACGGTATGTTAGGCTGCAATGGCGACATCTTAGGGTTGTTTTTCTGCCATTCTTTGAACCAGTCAAGGTAACTACAGTCACTTTGATGGCATCATGATTGTGGCTCAGATCACGATTACAAGAAATACATGATGAATATGGAGGAAGCAAACAGAAATCGAGGGAATCTTCGGGGCACGCAGGATAAGAAATGCAGGACACTAGCGGGCATGTGCTTGAACTTGTTTTGGTCAGACTTGCTGAAGACGCGGCAATTGGACTTCCTGAAGCCAAATTCAAAG